AGGTATCGCGGAACAGCAAGATAAATGAAGAACAGTGTGGCTTTTGACCCACTCGAAACTCCCCTGACCATATATTTGCCCTGCTCCAGGTTGTTAAAAATCCTGGGAGTTCGCCTAACAGGTGTACATGCGCTTTGTTGACCTAGAGAGGGCCTATGACAAGATTACGCGGAACAGTCTGTGTCATGCTTGCTAACATAAGGGAACCCTTGGCCAGCTGCTAAGGGCCATCCAATCACTGTATTCTGATAGCAGGTGCTGCGTCAGAGTAAATGGCGTTAAATCGAAACCATTCAACTTTGCACTGGCCTCTGTCAAGGCTGCGTCCTGTCCCCTTACCGTGTGTGTTGTACATGGATAGAATAGTCAGGAGCTGCCAAGGCGATGAATGTATCGGTTAGGAGATGTGAAGACGAGAAGGTTGCTGTTTGCAGACGACCTTGTTTCATTAGCATCTTCTAAAACTGATCTTCAGTGCTTCCTAGAAAGGTTCGCAGCCGAGTGCGACGTGACCGGCATGCGTGTGAACGCATGTGAAACGAAAAGCCTAATGCTTTCTCGTTGTTCTGCCCGTTGCTCTTTGCAGATTAACGGAGAGGCAGTGGAGCAGGTGGAGAAGTTCAAGTACCTCGGAGCTGTATTTACCAGTGATGGAAAGTTGGAGGAAGAGATCGACCGGCGAATTGGAGTAGCCAGTGGCGTTCTACGTGAACTCTCCCGACCCAGTGTGACTAAAGCAGAGCACAATCTGAAAACTAATTTCTTAATGTTTAAGTCGATCTTCATCCCCATGCCTACCTACGGTCATGAGTCGCGGACTATCACTGAAAAACTTCGAACCCCGGTACAAGCGGCTGAAATGTATGGGCTCCTTGCACGTCTCGACATGGCCCGGAAAAGAGAAATGCACGTGAACCTTGGTTTTCAGACACTGCTTCTTCTGACTGAGAAGTAACAGCTACGAATGGGCACCTTTTGTGAATTCCTTTACAAAGGAAAGCAAAATAGCTATTAGTTAACCACGGAAGAAGACCTTCGTGGTCGAACAGATGCTGCAGACAAAAACCCTAAGCAACAGTGTTGGCTAGCACTGTCTTGAAAATGATTCGTCAGAAGCTAATTAGCATGTCACTGAAAACTCGTAGTCGTGGTTACTATACTTTTTATATAAACTGGTCACTGTACTGCATCACTTACTGTGAACATGACGAAATAAATTATTCAATTTTCGGTAGATTTTACCGTAGTAAACTCATCCTCACAGTCCAGCATGATAACTATCCCTCACTGCGTGGTAAAACGCGACAAATTTCACAAATGCGATGATCAATCATCAAGTCGATTTCAGATCGCCTCGTCAGTGGTGCAACTGGTAAATATCATAGTAACTCATTCATGCTGTAGGTTTTTCTGAAGCAAAAAGCAAAAATATAAGCCAGTCAAGAAAGGCAACAATTATGTCGCGCGGTATGAAAAATGATGAACGATGCAGCACCCAAACAACTGACACTGTCCCCTTCATTCCATTCATCACCGGAGATAACAGTTTACCCTCCGAAGAGCAGAGGATCATTCGCCTTCAGTTCAGGAAGCAGCTAAAAGGGTTGAAACAAGGCTGTGCAATTATTAATTGATACTTTGTTCGAAATACGGTGATAGATATCAGTAGCGCTTGTTGTTACATAGAAACTCTAGGCCGAAAATACAATTTTTACCTTACCGC